AATAATAACTTTAAATCGTATATATGCATACAACAACTGTTGCCTATTTCCTCTTTTTCTCTCTCTCTCTCTCTCTTCTACAAACACACACACACACATCACAATAATCTTCTAACAATAATAACGTGTAGGTTTGGATGTGTGGCGGTGTTTTAGAAATTGCACCGTGCTCACGCGTTGGCCATGTTTTTCGCAAATCGACACCATATACCTTTCCAGGCGGTACTACGGAAATTGTTAATCATAATAATGCTCGTCTGGTTGAGGTGTGGCTGGACGATTGGAAAGAGTTTTACTACAGTTTTTATCCAGGTTAAGCATTTCATTCTAAACACATACACATGCACCCACATTTACCATATAAAACATCACTTAAACAACAGTATCATGAATATGAGAAGCAAATAAAAAATAAACTGCCAACAACAACCAAACAACCATTTACGGCACCACCTTCACTTCCACCGCTTTCTACCACGTCCATAACTTTTCTTCCATCCATCGTCTACTTCACCCATCACTGCTCATTGTTTATTTACTTTATAACTGCAAAATCGTGAGAAGGACAAGGAGACTCTTTTTTTTTTTTTTTGATTTATTTATTTATTTTTATATTTTATAAACCATTTTCTACTCTAAAGAGTGTGCAATGGGTTTTTAATCCATGTCTAATTTAATTATAAAAATATATATATAATTTCAGCTAACGCATAAACCAAAGTAATGGAATGAATATTTTTGAAAAATGTTACCATATAAAATGAGAAAAGAATAAAAAGAACCTCCGGCTTGAAAATGCATCACTCTTACGTGGGCACACAAAGTCCTTGATTCAAAAGGCTTGCCATTTAAAATATTTGCTAACTTAGTTTTCTGCAATAATTTACTTCCACCATTTTTCTGCTTATATCTGCAATCAAGTGTTGATTATAAGGAAAAGTTTTCGTTTCGAGATTATTTCTTTCCGTAGACCTCTTTTCGTCTTACTTACTGTAAAAGCTCTCTTTAGCACACATGGAAATACGTAAAAAATTTAAATTGAATCATTGTCTCTAGAGCGAACTAAGGGGAGTCGGAAATTTTTTACAAATTTTTTAACTGTTATTGCGATGCATTCCTGTCAAAAAAGTAACGGGGAAATTCTGTTAAAGAAACGCGCTTGTTTGCGCGGTATTGGTAAAAGTAAATGGATTTTAGGTTAGGAGGTAGATAAGGCATAATACAAGCTGATTTTTTGAAGCCTCCGCATTAACGCAACACTCAAGAAGTTCGTAGGATGACACGTAGATGTAGGGCAACAATTGTTAAATCCATGTGATTTTTAGACACCATCAGTCTACAAACGAAACCACGTTTACCATTGTTTTATATAAAGAGATGGGACGACCTAATCGAATTCCTGAAACGTAACGATATCTATATATCATCTTACGATCTTATGTGGTAAAATGCCAAATTTCTTGCCATATCTCGCTTATGCGGAATTGTGTGGAATTGTTGTACGAGTCCGTTTCACAATTTTTGATCAAAGATCAAAACGTCAAATAAAGACTTTGCCTCCAATGCTAAATTTGAAATGCAAAAAATCAATGAAATTTCATTAATGATAAACTTGTTCTAAATCCAAATTGACGCATATGCCAGTTTTACAAACTATTCAAAATAAGACACAAAGAAATTGAAGACTTACATCAATTCGGTCATTAACGTAAGTCATTGAAAAATCATTGACAAAGAAGGCGCATCAATAGCTTTCAAAATTTTGTTTGTGATAACTGAGACGACTAGTATGTGTCAACAATTCTTTCGCTTCATTTTGTCTGACATGTGCTTCAATCAACATTAACGAGAAATTTTTAAACCCTCATAAGTATTTAATTTTCATTGCTTGCTACATCCGATTCAAAGTAATCGCTAATGTACGCTTTTGCTAATGCGGTTTGCCATATGAAGGGCATTGACGGACAGCATCTTTTCTGAGTATTGTTTTGAACACAACCTACGTTTTGATTCTTATCTCTCTCTCTCTCTCTCTCTCTCTCTCTCTCTCTCTCTCTCTCTCT